GCAAAATAGACCAAATCCATTTATATTTAAGACATAATCCCAACCTGATCCAAAGTTGCAATTTCGTGCGATGGGATTGGTTGGAAAACATACATGAACTTTTATTATATACAGGTGAAACTCGAAAAATTAGTATATCGTGCAACAGTTTATTTCAGTAATTCAACTTAAGGTGAAACTAATATATTATATAGACTCATTACATGCAAAGTGAGATATTTCAAGCCTTTATTTGTTATCAGTTTGATGATTATGGCTCACAGCTTATGAAAACCCCAAATTCAAAATTAGAATATTTGTAGAATAAAAGTTTTCATAATCATCAAAATTATAACAACTAAAGGCTTGAGATATCTCACTTTGCATGTAATGAGTCTATATAATATATTAGTTTCACCTCTAAGTTGAGTTACTGAAATAAATGAACTTTTGCACGATATTCAAATTTTTCAAGTAATATTACTCGCATATAATTACATAAACTGTCTCCAAATCCAGACATTTTATGAATTTTGTACAAAATTGCAACTTAATATATATATATATATATATATATATATAGGTCTGTATAAAAATAAAATACATATAGATATATTTTCCAAAGTTGCAATTTCATTCAAATTCAAACAATGTGATAAATGTACGATCTGTAATAAAAACTAAGACGGAGGTGGGATTATCCATGCGTCTTTGTCTTTTGATACAGTAGATTTGTACAAAACTCACAAAACGCCTCTAAATTGAAGTTGAATCGACTATGTTTCTGTTTGAGATGACCAAATCTGCAAAATAGACAAAATCCATTTATATTTAAGACACAATCCCAACCTGATTGCAATTTCGTGCGATGTGATTGGTTGGAAAATCCATGTTCATACATGAACTTATATTATATACAGGTGAAACATCTCACTTTGCATGTAATGAGAATATATTAGTTTCACCTTTTAAGTTGAATTACTAAAAATAAATGAACTTTTGCACGATATTCTAATTTTTCGAGTTTCACCTGTATATATTACTCACATATAATGACATAAACTGTCTCCAAATCCGTACATTTTATTAATTTTGTACGAAATTGCAACTTAAAATATATATATAGGTCTATATAAAATACATATAGATGTATTTTCCAAAGTTCGAACAATGTGATAAGTGTGAAAACGTCCGATCTGTATTGTAATGTAAACCAAGACGGAGGTGGGATTATCCATACGTCTTTGTCTTCTGATACAGTAGATTTTCCCGAAACACTCGGCGCTTCGCCCCTGAATTGAGGTCGGATCGGCTCTGAAGTGTTCGGAGGTTTCTGTCGGAGATGAGGTGCGGGGCGAAAGTGCGAGGGGGATGGATTGAATTCTGATTGGGGTTCGGCGATGGGTAAAGAGAGTAAATCTGGTGACAAATGGTTTGGAAGAGCATTACTGTGGCGCGCTGATAAGAGCCTGTCTCCATAATAGAATGGAGAGGACTTGTCTATCAGCCCATTTGAAACCGTTCCTACAAGGTACTGGCTTTCATTAGCGTGGCCCGTGAATAGTGGCGCTGAATGAAAATTGCTACTTACCCCGCGATTACGGTATTGAAAGGTAGCTGTCAAAAGAGGGCCAGAGACTCGCAGGAAAAGAGGGGAGGTTGTGTGGCTGTCACCATGACAGGGAATGTGTTTCTCTAAGATTACTATTGTGTCTGTTTTATTAAAGGCAGGAAAGAGTAATGGGGCGGATAAGAACAGCACGAGAGGGTGATCCTGAAATACAATCGGAGAAATGTGACTTGAGGCTTGATGGGTGTAGGCCGATGATCGCCGCTGACGGACTATTTTGGGTTTCTATCAGGCTTTGCTGGGAGGAATGGCTCTTTCCTGAAGAAGCCAACGTGATATCTGTGTTTTTCAGCGCTATCGCCGCGCTTACACTCGACGCAACGGCCCATCTCGTTTCCTCGCCATCTGTAGAAAGTTCCCCGTCACACTTTAGCCGAAGTTGGCAGGTCTGGAGGTTTGCTTGGGTTTTCATGTGTAAGTGCATGACTGGAAGCACATTTCCTGTTGTTTTGATGTAACTGAAAGCATGACACAATAAGGAAAAGTGCACCCAAAAATGATGTCATTATGTCAAGTTGTATGCCATCTTCTTTTCCCCCTCTGTGAAACACAACAGATCTTTTTATTACAATAGTGAATGCATGCAAAAATGACTTTTTAATTAGTGACTCTAAAGTGTTTTTTTTTCTTACTGCACTGGCAGATTTAAATCAAAATAGATGTTTATATTCAAGACAATCTAATGTGAAAGATACACACATTTTATGGAGTGTTTGTTAGGAAAATGTAGGATATGTGATAAAACTAAGTTTCAATGCTTATATTCAAGACCGGATATCTCAAGAAAATCGAATTGAATTGAATTGAATAAATTAGAATTCAGTAATAATTAACCAAATTAATGCCTTAAAAGTTAACCAGTCAATAGGGATGGGTATTGTTATGGTTATCGGTATTACTACTCTTACTGATACCGCTTATCGATTTGGTACTTTAACGGTATTCTTATCGGTTCTTTTTGGTGTTTTTTTTTTTTTTTTTTAAGAATTAAGATCACAATTAAACTTTATATTTTGAAATGTAAAATAGAAAAAGCAAAACGAAGAAAAATATCTTTTTGTTATGCAGCAATGTGCAGGCTTTTTTTGTTTTATATACATATAGAAAAAAAACAAGTACAAACACAAGAATACAATTAATCAAAGATTCATATTATATACAAAGTGCTTTAATTTCAGGAAGGTGTACTAACATATGTGACCCGCTCTGGCAAAATGAGTCGGAAGTCGCAACGTTCCATTTTAAGATATGGGGATTATGTGGAACAACAATGAAATGACAAAAAAAAAAATTTTTTTGTGCTAATTTCAAAGAACAGACATTCAAAAATAATCTCCCAAAGTTTCGTAGTCCAGATAATTGAGTAAAGGTATTTAAATGACGATTAAAGTCGTCAAAGCTTTAAATTTGCTGAAATAAACATTGCTCTTCTCAACTCCCCTCGTCAGCTCTGAGCATTTCCCGGGTAGCCTATCCGCTGAAACGTTGAACTCAAAGTGTTGAACTCACTGGAAGCTTCTAACCTAAGCTTTGTGAGTATATTTATCTGCAAGAAGAATATGTAAGGCTGTAACGATCGCGACACTCAGATCCACTAACCTGTGAGAATCACGACACGTCCCTTCAAATCCCGGAGTTATCCTACCACATCTTTAAATTACTATTAGTATTATTTGAAGTTAACGTTATAAAATATGTAGACCTACACCACAAAACTAGTTAAATTATTACTAAATTATTTAAAATTGGGCAATTTCAGCGTTATGGAGAAGATCCATAATTCCCATATAATTAAATCTTTTAATAAATAGGCCTATGTGAAACACACTGCAGAAACCAAAAGTAATACTCACCGGATGAAGAAGGGTTGACTCTCCCCAGAACATAAAATCTTTTATTTTATTTTCCGTGTTCACATTTATGAGGAAAAAACAATGATACGGACGTGACCGTTCTCTGGAACCAGCACTAAAACTTTCACAGAGCCTAAACAGAAAGCAAGCACAAATCCTTTCTTTAAAGTGAATTTCGTTTGGAAATAATTTTATCTTAATTTAAATCAATGTTTCATCACCCAATTACCAGGATTTAATAATAAGAAATAAATTGCAGACAAAGGATAGGCTAGGCCTAATCACGACAGGGAAGCTGAAGCTCGTCTCATGAACCGAAAGTCAGCGTATAAGGTATCCTAGCCTCACAGACTTGAGAAATATATATATATTGAAATGTCTACTTTTAAACAAAACCAATCAAAACGAAAGAAAAGAGACTGCTCTCTGCTTATGTGGGCTAATCCGTATGAAAAGTGAATTTCTCTCTGGCTCCTCTGTTCAATCTTTCTGATTTTAGAACATTTTTGTAAAAGTGAAATACATTTTTGAAAATACCTCTCAAAATGCTGGCTGTGGATGCGAAATACGCAGAAAATCGAACCTGATTCAAATTTTTTTATGACGGAAGAAAGTTTTGGAGTGTGCAAGCGTGATTGACTTAACGTGAGGTCGAATTTTTTTTAACGTGCGAAAATTTCGCATGCGAATTTCGGACTCAGTGTGCAAAGGCCTTTACACCATCACCGGGCCTTCTGACGCTCACCTAAAATTCACATTTTTATTTTAAATTCAACAAATATTAAAAATTCTAATTTCAATTTGACAGCCCTAGTAGGTTTTTTACTAAATTGAAATTTTCGTTTGAATTCGTATGATGTGTTTCGTAGGAAAACACACGATTTGTCATGTATAACATCATGCTTAATTTATTTGTATTCAAGACACAATCTCAATCTGATATCACGAGAAAATATATTTACGCAATTTTGAATTGTACAAATTCATAGAATTTGATTGGTCGGAAAATGTAACATTTTTAATGTGTAAAAATATAAGCATAACTTCTACGCTTATACTCAAGGCACAATCTCAACCTGATGTTTGCAATTTCGGATTAATTTGTATGATGCGTTTAGTAGGAAAACATTCGATTTGTCATGTCATGTTTAGTTTACTTATATTCAAGACGCAATCTCAACCTGATCTCATGAGAAAATTCATTTCACGAATTTCGAAATTCGTAGGATGTGATTCATAGGAAAAGCACAAGAGCAGGTCGTACGAAAATGTGTGAATGAGATCTTACAAATAAATGCAAATTCACCAGTAATATGTGAGAATCTAAAACAGTGAATAAAAGTCTTAATTTTTATGCAGTGTTGCTATTTTAGCCATTATAGAAAATGATATGATACAAGTAGACTACTTGTGCACTATATTCAGTTGTATACTGGTTTTGTGTAACTAACAAACCAAGATGTAGGTTGTTATTCACTGAAATGATCCCCTTTCTGCATCTCATTTTCCATATCTCATTTTTGTTTTGGCATTAATAGGATGTGATGCGTCAAACGCCACTTTTGAGTGTGAATGTGATCGGAAGATTTCAGACCTTCAGGAGAAGAGAAGATAAATATCGGTATGATTCTCACACTTTTATTCAGTTTTTGGTCTACTTTTGTGTTCATACAAGTTTAGAACAACATGAGGGTGAGTAAATAATGGCAGAATTGTTTTATTGTAACTGGTCTTTTAAGTAGCAAATAACCAAAAAATATTCCATTTAAAGGGATAGTTCACTTTGAAATTAATTTTTGGTATGTTTTATCTTACCTCAAGGGCATCCAAGATGTAGATGTCTTTGTTTCCACAGTATTTTCCATTTTGATATTTTTAGGTCAAACCGTTCATATCTGTCAGTCATATAATGGAGGTCTATGGTCACCACCTCAAAGAGCATGCACAGAGAAGTCAAAATTAAACATGATTTAATGACTCGTAAACGTAAGTACACATTGATGGACTAAGACACGAAACGAGCGGTTTGTGTGAGAAACAAACAGTATTTATATCGTTTAACCTCTTGTAACCACAGCCACAAAGTGCCCGCGCCCTCAGATCAGTTGGACATGGCTGTGATTACAAGAGGTAAAAACGATATAAATACTGCTCGTTTCGTGTCTTAGGCCATCAATGTACTGTATACTTACATTTACGAGTCATTAAATCATGTTTAATTTGGACTTCTCTGTGCATGCTCTTTGAGGTGGTGACCATAGACCTCCATTATATGACTGACAGACACGAACGGTTTGACCTAAAAATATAAAAATTGAAACTACTGCCGAAACAAAGACATCTACATCTTGGATGCCCTTGAGGTAAGATAAAACATATAAAAAATTAATTTCAAAGTGAACTATCATTTGAAAAACATTCTAGATCTGACCAGAGGCGAGGTCTGAAATTGAGAGGCATGTTAAAGGGAGACGTGAGGAGGTGAAGATAAGTGTCTCTGGTAAAGAGGGTCTACCTCCACACACTTAAGCTCTGAGTTTGTGCTCTCAATCGGTGAAGACTCGGATCAATAGCACTGCGGAAGCAAGAGAGGAAGAACACCGACAGAATCAGCAGAACGAGGTTAAACTCGCCCGGAGAGAGGCGAAAAACGTGAATGTGAGTGATGAGTGCGGTCAGTGCTGAGATGTAGAGCCTCTGAATAAACACACACAGGAATAGATTTAAAACATTAGTGCGTAAAGGTGATGGGTGTCATTTTTTAAGGTTGAAATACTCTCCTCTTTCCCAGCTTAATATGCAGTGCAAACTATATTTTAAAGCCGGCACACACAGAGAGAATTTTTTTCTGTCTTTTATGGTTGTTTGTCAGATGAGCTCAGTAAGATCCTGGGTAAAACCAAGACAGGCTGTATGTCTTTTTTATGTCTCATTGTACAAATATACACCACCGTTCAAAAGTTTGGGGTCAATGTGATTGATATTTCACAATAAGTGCTTTCTATGCAAGAATCCTGAAATAAAAGTGTCAGATTCCACAAAAATATGAAAAGCTGTTTTCAGGATTGATAATAATAAAAAAAAATGTGTTTTAAGCAGCAAATCATCATATTAGAAAAATTCTAAAAGATATTATAATATAAAGATCATTGTAATATTTAAATGATATTAGAAGGATCATGTGACACTGAAGACGGGAGTAATGATGCTGAAAATTCAGCTTTGATCACAGGAATAAATTACACTTCAACATATAGAAAACTAACAGTGAAATAAAAAAGATAATTGCGACTTTTTACGTCACAATTCTGACTTTTTTCTCACAATTGCGAGATGTCAGAATTGCATAATATAAAGTCAGAATTGATTGATTTAAAGTAAGAATTGTGTGTTATAAAGTCAGAATTGATTGATATAAAGTCAAAATTGATTGATATAAAGTCAGAATTGCGTGATATAAAGTAAGAATTGTGTTATAAAGTCAGAATTGATTGATATAAAGTCAGAATTGCGAGATATAGTCAAAATTTATATAAAGTCAGAATTGATTGATATAAAGTCAGAATTGCGTGTTATAAAGTCAGAATTGTGTGTTATAAAGTCAGAATTGTGTGTTATAAAGTCAGAATTGATTGATATAAAGTCAGAATTTATTGATATAAAGTCAGAATTGTGAGATATAAAGTCAAAATTGATTGATATAAAGTCAGAATTGCGTGTTATAAAGTCAGAATTGTGTGTTATAAAGTCAGAATTGTGTGTTATAAAGTCAGAATTGATTGATATAAAGTCAGAATTGCGAGATATAAAGTCAAAATTTATTGATATAAAGTCAGAATTGCGTGTTATAAAGTCAGAATTGTGTGTTATAAAGTCAGAGTTGATTGATATAAAGTCAGAATTGCGAGATATAAAGTCAAAATTGATTGATATTAAGTCAGAATTGCGTGTTATAAAGTCAGAAGTAATTGATATAAAGTCAGAAATGCGTGATAAAAAGTAAGAATTGTGTTATAAAGTCAGAATTGATTGATATAAAGTCAGAATTGCGAGATATAAAGTCAAAATTGATTGATATAAAGTCAGAATTGCGTGTTATAAAGTCAGAATTGTGTTATAAAGTCAGAATTGATTGATATAAAGTCAGAATTGCGAGATATAAAGTCAAAATTGATTGATATAAAGTCAGAATTGCGTGTCATAAAGTCAGAATTGATTGATATAAAGTCAGAATTGTGAAATATAAACTATTCTGAGGGGGAAAATGTTAGTCTTTTTTTCCCCTTAGACTTGCCTGATAACTCGCAATTGCTTTGTTTTTACGTCAATTTTTTGCATTTTTTATCTCACAATTCTGAGAAAAGATTTTTTCTTTTTTGATCTTTTTTTCTCGCAATTGCAACTATATTTTTTACAATTCTGACTTCACAAGTCGCAATTGTGAGATAAAAAGTCACAATTTTTATTTTTTTTATTTTTTTTTATTCAGTGGTGGAAACAAGCTTCCATAGAAAACAGTTATTTTAAATGGTAATAACATTTAACAATATTTCTGTTTTAATTGTATTTGGTGAGCATAAAGAGGCTTCTTTCAAAAACATTAAAAAACAGTTGAACTGTAGTGTAGATCTTAAGAGTACACTAAACTTTAGTTCAATCAATCAATTTTATTTATATATAGTAAAACAACCAAGGTTGACCAAGGTGCTTCACAAGTCAAAACAACTAATTAGTTGTGAATTTTGATGAAAGAAACACTAAATAACAATATAGCACGTGGAGTAATGACATTTTTGTAGGCCAACACGAAGGTACGCAATCTACACATCACCCTGTTTCCATCAAAAACTACACAACTAAAGTGATTCTAACACGATTGGTTCATCATGATTATCTCTTGGAGCCTAAACAAGCTAAACATCGGTTATAAGTGAACTACACCACTGTCCCATGACTTCCATTTAAAAACATTTTCCCTGACAGTGTGAGTTAGGATAGTTTGCAGGAGCATAAATGAGGCAGTAAGTGTGTGAGTTTACCTGTTCGCTGTGATGATGATGCATGGGTCTTCTTGCTCTTCAACAGTTTAAAGTCATATTAAAATGCAAAGGACAAAGAAATAGATGAGAAAAATCCATTTTTTTATTTAATAACAAGTTTTCGTTTTCGATTTCCTGACCTTAGTATCCGATTCTAGAATAGGAATCGATTTTTGATTCCCAAACCTAGTCGTTTTCAACCAGCTCCAACCTAACAATTTAGGTTATTTTCAGAGATTTGTTAATGTACCTTGTTTGTGTTGTTAAGAATAATAAAAAATAAGATATACATTTCAATCAGCTCAAGACAGCAACAGCTGCTCAACCAATGGTTAGAGTTTGGGGCGGGGCTTTGTTTTTGACTGACCAATGACGTTTCAGGAAAGCTGTTTGATTGGTGATTCTATTGGTGCAGAAATAACACTTTTCATCTAGTACTTAAAGGAGTAGTTCACTTTTAAAGAAACTTTTTCTGATAATTTACTCACCCCCATGTCATCCAAGATGTCCATGTCTTTCTTTCTTCAGTCGAAAAGAAATGAAGGTTTTTGATGAAAACATTCCAGGATTTTTCTCCATATAATGGACTTCAATGGGGACCAAACGGTTCAAGGTCCAAATGAGAGTTTCAGTGCAGCTTCAAAGGGCTTTAAATGATTCCAGGCGATGAATAAGGGTCTTATCAAGCGAAACGATCACTCATTTAAAAAATAAAAAAACAAAATGTAAGTTTTATAAGCTCAAATGCTCGCCTTGCTCTGTTCTGTGATGCGCATTCGTGACTCTCCTGTTCGAACTCGTTCATCAAAATGAACAAATCTTTTTTCGAGTTAATTCGTACATTTTGTTCATGGAATTAGCCAAATTACTTGAAAAAAGATGCTTATTCATCGTCTGGTGTCGTTTAAAGCCCTTTGAAGCTGCACTGAAACTGTCTTTTGGACCTTGAACCATTTGGTTCCCATTGAAGTCCATTATATGGAGAAAATCCTGGAATGTTTTCATCAAAAACCTTCATTTCTTTTCGACTGAAGAAAGAAAGACATGGACATCTTGGATGACATGGGGGTGAGTAAATTATCAGCAAAAGTTTTTTTTTTTTTTTTAAGTGAACTACTCCTTTAATTGTTGGGTTATTTTACCAGGTGAATATTTAAGTGTCTTTATAAAAGCTGATGTCAACACGTACTCAACTTCAAGCCGTTTTCAAATGAATAACATGCATTTTTATGACACTCAAAGCTTTTATTTGCTAAACACCAATTTACAGATCTGCTGGTTCTCCTGGGTTGAAATGGGATGCAACTGGTCAGGCCCCAGTCAGTGGCAATATAGCGCTGAAGATGATTAGCTTTTTAAACCGACTTTAACCTCTTCTGTCTGCAGATTTGCCTCAAATGGACCGTATAGAGTTTCACAAGATTAAAAGCACTTTTCCGCTCGTTCGGCTTTTGAGAAGCGAAGACCTATTTAGAGCATTTAATCCCGTTTCAAAGGGTGTATGGGCCAGCGAATTGATCATAGCCAAATGGTTCCTGTAAAATGCTTGATTGCTTAGGAAGTCAAGATGGAGGATCCGAGGAATTCCGTCAACTTTCTCGCCGGCCTTTTGATCCGAAGGGATTCCTGTTGCAGGCAGCCTCTCATGTCTCCTGCTTTTTGAAACAATACTCCTGTGTCTGATCGCATTGATCTCCTCACGGTGACCTCCGACCTCTCAAGATGCTGCGGAGAGGGAACGAAGGAATGTTGGGGGGAGCTGTCTGCTCTCTCGCCCTTTCTCTCTCTCTCGCTCTCTCTCTCGCCCTTTTTCATGCGATGATTTCATCGCAGCGAATGGAAATGGCTCACATGTGTTTGCAATTATACCTCACATTGTAATCATGAGACAGAGCCATAAAGCACACACACACACACACACTCTCTCTCGAGGGTCCGTGCACATTCTACAAAACTTTTCATCAAACCATATGGTTTTGTCTTCTCGTTGTATATAGGCAGAGGGTCGAGTTTAAAAGAAAACAACAAAAGGGAAACGAGTGTTTTAGATGAACATTTAAAGAGCTCCTATCATGCATTTCTTATTATTGCATTTTTCCCCCAGCAGTCCATTAACTTTGGAACATTTTATGGACTAAAAACCATCATTTTGGTTTTTCACAGCCTTTTCCCACCACCTCTGATCCTCAGAATTAAACTAGATGCAAGGAGATAGATAGATAGATAGATAGATAGATAGATGGATGGATGGATGGATGGATGGATGGATGGATGGATAGAGATGGATAGATAGATAGATAGATATAGATACATGATGGATGGATAGATAGATAGATGGATAGATGGATGGATGGATGGATGGATAGATAGATAGATGATGGATGGATAGATGGATAGATGGATAGATAGATAGATAGATATAGATACATGATTGATGGATAGATAGATAGATAGATAGATAGATAGATAGATGGATGGATGGATGGATGGATGGATTGATTGATTAGTGGGTCATTTAAAAATAAATTAAAAAAGTTTTATGTTTTTTCTCTGTGAGGTGCATTTGCGTCATTCATCAAAACGAATGAATCTTTTTTCGAGTCATTTGGTTAATTTCGTTCATTGAATTAACCAAATGACTCGAAAAAAGATTTGTTCATTTTTTAAATGAGCGATCGTTTCACTTGATAAGACACTTATTCATCGTCTGGTGTCGTTTAAAGCCCTTTGAACAGTTTGCAGTTTGCACTGAAACTCTCATTTGGACCTTGAACCGTTTGGTCCCCATTGAAGTCCATTATATGGAGAAAAATCCTGAAATGTTTTCATCAAAAACCTTAATTTCTTTTCGACTGAAGAAAGAAAGACATGGACATCTTGGATGACATGGGGGTGAGTAAATTATCAGCAAAAGTTTATTTTTAAAAGTGAAGTACTCCTTTAAGCTTGTGCAAACTGGATTTGAAGTGAAATAAATGCAGGTTTATGGCGCAACTGTGCTCTATAATCAAGAATGAGCTTCGGGCGACACGACGCGCGTCCTCCATCATCTCGCAGGCCGCCGGGGTCGCCTGAGGAGCACATCTCTGTGACCCGAGGCCCTTCTGACTTTGGTCATTGTGCGGGTTGCAAACAAGCTGCCCTGAGATGTTTACCGAGTCTTGTTGCTCATACACTGGCCAGGCAATCCCATTAAATGTCTAGAAGAGACCAGGATCTAAATTACTCGCCTGACCTTTACTCTGATAATAGACTCGCTCTGGAAGAAGAGATATAAAGTGATAGTTGGTGGAAATGTATATTCATTTACATATGAATTATGCATCATTATTTTCCTGTTATTAATACACTCTAAAAAATGCTGGGTTGTTTTAACCCAATTTTGGGTCAAATATGGACAAACCCAAACCTTGTGTAAAAATGTAATTTAAAAATGTAACCCAATTACTAGGTTTGTCTATATTTGACCCAAAGTTGGGTTGAAACAACCCAGCAGTTTTCCGAGTGTATGTAATTCACATGAGATGTTCAGAAGAGATCTTAAACTGTGCTGAGATTCACCAAGATCAATCAAACCACGATCGAGTGCATTAGTGCCCTCCCCCCCTTTTTTTTGAACAGTGTTGGTTCTGAAAGTATTTTTTCCTATTCATTTCTCCCATAAAAAAGTATTTGTTGAAGCATTATCTAAGCCATGAACCAAGGCAACCAGCTATGAGGTGAATCATAACACTACAAACTAGATTTGAATAAAAAAGTAGGTATAACTGTGCGTTCACACCGGACGCGAATAGCACGTCAAATCCGCGTCTACCGCGTCTAGTTTGAGAACTCCGGTCAACCTTTGGTCTAATAAAACATTGGTGCCTAGTCGACCATTCTCTGAGATTTGTTTTCATGATAACTGAATGTAAAGAGTTTAATCTCTAAAACTGTTTAGCATATAATGCTAGTATATGGGGGCATATAATAAGTAAAAAGAAATCGCTAGTTTATACCACTAAAAGGCTCAAAATAGCCCCACACTAACACAGTAACATAATGAGGGTCCCTACATGCAAACCGAAGCATTGAGAACTTTGTAAGTGTACAGACCGTTTAATAAGAAGATACTTTATGAAGACAGTTCACTTTGTGTATTCAGACAGGAGAAAACAGTCTCTGAGAAAAAAGTTCTCTGAACTTCATACGTTCGTGGTTCGACTTGTCGAGTCTGTTCTCCAAAGATGGCTGCTGTCTGTATACACGAAGTGAACTGTCTTCATAAAGTATCTTCTTATTAAACGGTCTGTACACTTACAAAGTTCTCAATGCTTCGTTTTGCATGTATGGAGCCTCATTATGTTACTGTGTTAGTGTGGGGCTATTTTGAGCTTTGTTAATGGTATTAACTAGCGATTTCTCTTTACTTATTATATGCCCCCAAAGCATATACGCTAAAACAGTTTTAGAGACTCTTTACATTCAATTATCTTGAAAACAAATCTCAGAGAACGGTTGACTTGGTACCAATGTGTAATTAGACCAACGGGTAATTTTGCGTCAGAGTTCTCCTTTAATTTGCTCGTCAAGAGTGAAATTGACGTGCGTAAAAACAAAAGTTTGAAGCGAAATCGAAATCCGTTGGCAGCCATTTTTTTATGTCGACCGAGCATTCATCGAGAGAGTGACCGCTGTGTATTTGCTCTGAAGAGCAGAACAGCGGCGTGGGGATCATCGTCGCCATATTTGTGTCCACCGGACCCTTCGGAGGTAAGTTTGGCGAGTTTCACCATTTAATTTATTGAAGCATCCAGATACTTCTCCACGTGGGCAAGCAGCAGGGTCCTGATTAGTTAAATCGGCGCGAATTTGACGCCAAAGTTCAGATTTTTCGACTCGGGCGTAAGGCGCGAATTCGCGTCAAATGCGTGAATGCACAAATAGTACTAACTAAATCATTCGCGCGTAACACGCTTAACACGCCAAATGCTCAATTTGCGCCATTCATGGGAAATTGACACGCGAATGAGGCGTATTCACGTCTACCCAACCCGATCTCATGACCAAGCCGTACTAATTCGACGAATGATTAAAAAGTGGCTAAATCGTAACAATTCATACGACCTCACTCGTACGAATTAGTACGATTTTGTTAAATCGTACATATTTTACGAATTAGCCAACTCGTATGAATTTATACGAATGACCTACCCCTTACCCCGCCCCTAAACCTAACCATCACGTGCGTTTAGACAAATCGTCCAAATTCGTACCAGTGAGGTCGTACGAATTAGTACAAATTTTACCCTTTTTAATCATTCGTCGAATTCGTACGAATTGGTCGTGAGATAGTGTTGGTGTACCGTACCGTGCTCTACGCCTCATTCGCGCCTCAGGAATTTTTTGCGCTTCATGCGAGTGGGCGGAGCTAAAGAGCTCCGTTTTGCTGTTTGCGACTCTTGATTGGTGGGATTTTTGCACTGCATCATGGGTAATGTAGTTTTTCACCATGTATCCCTCTGTTAAACATGATTATTTTAAAACTAGGTTCAAATAACGCAGGCTGACGGCTTCAACAGAAGCAAATACTGTTGATTAACAACCTCGTAGCTCACAATAAGGCTGTCTTTAAAGGTTTGTAAGTTAGCGAGCTAAAAATCAATCAATGAATGAGGAGTTTTTTACTTCCAGAACCCGACTGTTGAGCTCTATATGAACTCAATTGATTCTAATAGCTTTGTACTCATACTTTATGTCTGATTAAAGAAGTTCCCTGAGACATTACTCCAGTTTGAGGTATAAAAGAGCAATAAGATGCTCCTTATTTCCCTCAGAATGCCTTTTAAAAGCAGTCGAGTTTATTTTGTTCCTGCCTGGTATCTGTATGTCAAAGACGTTTTAGTAGCACAAGTGTATTTATGTATTTTAAACATGCTCTAAAATGATTCATGTTTCTTTAAATCCTCCATTTTGCTGATAATTTGAGACGTCTTTTGCCCGTGGCGGAGCTGAAACTGTGTCTCTCTCATTGATATACGGCACCAGAGCCGAAGCTTTGTTGAGTCGGGTATTTCCAGATGGCTCACAAAAGACTCAATTGACTCTCTCCTCTAATGTGTTAAACCGTTTGCTCCCGCATGACAAATTTAGAGGGGAAAAAAAACCCCAGCCCTTCAGCAAACAGTAAAAGATGAAATATCAAACAGATTTTCTCTTTCACTCTGCAAAAAAAAATTGTAAATCAAGATGCATTTACTTGAGAAGCAAAATGACTTAAAACATTAAGTCTTGATAAAAGAAAACAAGAGAATATTTCTCCCAATGTGGTCAGAAAAATACACTTGTTTTTAATATTATTAAGCATAAACGACTCAGCATCATCGAATGCATATATTTGTACTGGAGAACAAGACAAAAATGCACATTTTTTGCCGCGCAGTTTCACACGCCACTTATATTAACGAGTCGTGCCGAGTGCTCTGTGTATAAATACAGTTTGTCTGTTGCAGATTTACATCACGCCTTATGCAATGACGTCTGGATCTCGTCCAGCATGCAGTGAACCAGAGGAACGGAGAGACGTCCCAGCGGCCCGCAGTCCTGACAACACCCTCTATCCCCCTCTGAAATCTTTATTTACTGCCCCTCGCCGCCGAGGTGAGGAGCTTCTGTGAGCTTGTGTGTGCACTGATGCACTTCATGCGCTTGTGTGTTGTGTTTGCTCTGCAGCGGGTACAAGATAAATCACCAATATCATATGTTTAGGCTGATATTGAAAGCCGATATCAGAGCTCTTTTTCCACGAAGTTTATGTTTTGACATGAAATGTTGTGGAAATCTGAAGAGTTGTCTATCTGCAGGGTCACAGACAAAAACAGCATGAATATTAATGACATGGTCTTAAATTTGGCTGAAATATGCACTTTAAACAAACCCAAATTTGGGTAAAATATGAACAAACCCAAATGTTGGGTTAAAAATGTCATTTTAAATTTTAACCCAACTTTCACTTTCAACTGTACATTTTTTAATTACATTTTTAACCCTGAATTTGGGTTTGTCCATATTTGACCCAAATTTGGGTTGAAATAACCCAACATTTTTTAGAGTGTGTTTAAAAGAAATAAAATGCAATTAATTCATTTCTCAAAAAGCTGACAGGGGAACTTAATATTAACTCAATAAAATAATAAAATGCATTTTTTTATGTAAATTCATGACCAAAAGTGTGAACGACATTCTTGAAACATGAGCAGAATTTTCATTAGAAATGTTCTCCCATAAATCGCCACATTGACTTGAATGTGCAAGTAAATAATGTATTAATTACTTGTTTTTCTTCTTATTTTTCCACTAAATTTGCAGATTCCTTTGGCCGGCAAATCAAACAAAACTTTACTTTCTAACGATATTCTTTAGAAATAAAATAACACATTTTTAAGTTCCCCCAAAAAGCTGTCTGGTGAACTTAATGTGAATTTTAAACTTTAAATTATGAATTATAAGATTATAAAAATTATGGTTTGATTTTTGATACAAATTCCTGACAAGTTGTAGTGTTTTCATACCAAAATATAGCACATATTTGTCTTCTTTTTTTTACAGAGACATATATGTGTCTCTGTGTGTTTATTTTCAAAAAAAAAATAACAACATATAATTAGCTATATAATTCTTAGCTACATTAATAGTTACATTAATTTTACAAACTATCTGTGGCTGTATATATTAAGTACTACTAGAAACATTACTATTTTTAATGTTTCAAAGTCTCTTCTACTCATCAAGCCTGTATTTGATCAAAATACAGAACAAACAGTAATATTGTGAAATATTACAATTTGAAATAATGGTTTTCTATTTTTCGATACTTTAAAATGTAATTTATTCCTGTGATCAAAGCTGAATGTTCATCATTACTCCAGACTTCAGTGACACATGACCCTTCAGAAATCACTCTAATATGATGATTTATTATCTTTTCAGGATCATTTAATGAATAAAAAGAACAGAATTTATTTAAAATAGAAATCTTTTGTCATAACATATCCTAACATTAAAAAGTTTGTGGTCAGTAATTTTATTCTTAAAAAATAACAACAACAAAAAAATAATACTTTTATTCAGCATGGATGTGACATTACATTGATAAAAAGTGATGTTAAAGCTAGTTATATTTTTGAAAATATTTTTATTTAGAATAAATGCTGCTCTTTTTAACATTATTTATCAGTGAATCCTGAAAGAAAAGTATCACAGATTTGTTTTTTTTTAAAATTACACAACACAACTGTTTCCAACATTATTGATAATTCATCATATTAGAGTGATTTCTGAAGGGTCATATGACACTGAAGACTGGAGTAATGATGCTGAACATTCAGGAATAAATGATATATTAAAGTAGGCCTATATTAAAATAGAAAACATTATTTTGAATCATAATAATATTTCACAATATTTCCAATAAAATAAAAGTTATTAATTTCCCCAAATCTGTCTGGCGAACTTAATATGAGCTTTAAACTTGAAATGATAAAAGATCAGTTTTGATGCAAATGCTTGACCAAAGTTTCATATAAATGCTCCTATATTAAAACCCACATTGATTTGATTTTCCAAGAACCTTTTTATTTACCTTTTTTATCCCGAATAATTGACTAAAAGCTAACCGTAATGTCTGTATCCGTGCGTCCACTGTACTTAGGTAATGTATGTGGATAATTTGGAGCTCTTATCTTCAGTTACTTGTTGGTTATTGAAGCGGTCTTGGCCTCCCGGTTCATCATGAGCTCAGTTTAGTCACGTCCCCCGTGGAGAACACAAAGGATGTAATTGCTTTAGCTTGAGCTCAATTGCTCCAATTTGAGGCAGTCTTACACGCCAGTCAGCTGTGTGCGAGCGCCGTGCCAAGAAGCGCTGCGGATTACCCGCTTCTGTGCAATGCCCAAGCCCAAAAACGCCACATAAATTCGATTTGTTTAAGACGGAGGCTTGTGGCTTTTAAATTCAGCACAAATTGCAGCAGTCTAGTGTCTTTTAAAGCCTATTATTGTGTGCCTTGCGCTAATGTAGAGCTGCTATAATGGCACTCCGGCACTTGACCGTGATCTCTCGTGTCAGTTTGAGGTTTTGTGTTTCACGCTGAGGGTCACGGCGATGATTAGGACAAACTGTTTGGGACACAGATGGTCCCTGTGGATGGATGGACATCTGTCCATTTACATCTTCTGTTTTTAGAAAGTTGGATGCATCATATCTTTTCAGCACGCTACACCCTTCCATGCAAGCATCTTTGTTCTCCAAAATTACACATTTAAAAGTTTTCTCCATGACTTAAAATAATCTTGAATGTAACTCGACACCCTTGCCTCATTTAGTATGAATATGCAAATGAGCCCCGCCTCCACGATCACACGTTGATCTGATTGGTTACATGTTCCTTTAATGATTTTCAACTAACTATAGGTAACGTGGCAACTACATGTCAACTTGCAGTCAATAGAGTATTAGTAGACTTAATATCTGCTAACTCTTTATTTTGATTCACAACAGACATTGTACTGCCTAAAAGTAACTTTGCAACTACATGTCAACTTATTCTACGAACAGTAACAGTCTACTAACACTCTACTGAGAGTTATGCCGGGTTCAGACTACATGATTATCAATTTCAAGTTCATTTATTTATATAGCACAATTTTACAACAGACACTGGCTGGTGCTTTAGACAACAGCAGAAGTTAAAACAAAATTGTACATACTATGATACAACTTTTAAACAGGAGTAGAAAAGCAGTGATTATGCAGCCCGATCACATGAAACTGTGTATCTATACATCGAATGTTATTTCTTGTGCTATTTATACCATAGCTGTCAATATTGAACACTGAAAATGAGTGCGATTTCCCGGAATCCATCCCCAAAATAAGGGATTTTTTTTACACCGTTCTTAACCACAAACTTTAAAAAATAAACCAGTAATCATTAAAGGAGTAGTTCACTTTTTAAAAAACTTTTGCTGATAATTTCCTCATCCCCATGTCATCCAAGATGTCCATGTCTTTCTTTCTTCAGTCGAAAAGAAATTAAGGTTTTTGCTGAAAACATTCCAGGATTTTCTCCATATAATGGACTTCAATGGGGTCCAAACGGTTCAAGGTCCAAATGAGAGTTTCAGTACAAACTGCAAACTGTTCAAAGAGCTTTAAATGATTCCAGATGATAAATGAGCGTCTTATCAAGCGAAACGATCACTCATTAAAAAAGTTTGAGTTTTATAAGCTCAAATGGTCGCCTTGCTCAGTTCTGTGTGACTCTCCAATTCGAACTCGTTCATCAAAATGAACGAATCTTTTTCCGAAGTCAATTTGTTCATTTCGTTCGTTTAATGAACCAAATGACTCGAAAAAAGATTTGAAGTTCAAACAGGAGAGTCACGAACGCGCATCACAGAACAGAGCAAGGCGAGCATTTGAGCTTATAAAACTTAAACTTTGTTATTTATTTTTTAAACGAGTGATCGTTTCGCTTGATCAGACCCTTATTCATCGTCTGGAATCGTTTAAAGCCCTTTTAACAGTTTGCAGTGAAACTCTGATTTGGACCTTGAACCGTTTGGACCCCATTGACATCCATTATATGGAGAAAATCCTGGAATGTTTTCATCAAAAACCTTCATTTCTTTTCGACTGAAGAACAAAAGACATGGACATCTTGGATGACATGGGGGTGAGGAAATTATCAGCAAATTTTTTTTTTTAAAGTGAACTACTCCTTTTAAAGTCTAAAGAATTTATAACTAGCCTACATATGTGTGAGAGAGAAAGAGACAGTTGTGTGTGTGTGTGATGGAGAAAGAGACAGAGTGATGTTTAAAAAAAAAATGATCACAGAGAACGTTTAAATACTAATATCAGTTTATGAGGGAAACGGGGGCGGAGTTAGTGGTGCTTCGGAGGCTGAGTGCAGGAGATGATTGGGAGAGGTCTGTGCACCTTGACCAATCAGATCGCGCGCTGACACGGAGTAAAGCCTTTATACTCGACGCGTCCGCACGAGCGCGGCAAAAATGACAAGTTGGGTGCGCAAGACCTCATTTTGATTGGCTGTGTGCACAGCTTTTTTGTATCAACGCGTGCGGCGTCACATCCGACTTCGATCCGAATCTGTCCGAGCTTGTACGTCTCACACAATCAGAGCGTAAAAATACGGGATATTTTACAGGAAAATACTACAATGGGAGGACAGCGGGAAAAGAGCCAAAATACGTGAGAAACCCGGGTTGACAGCTATGATTTATACTCCAAAAATGTACATTTTTGCGTCTATGCACGCAGTTTTCGCGTACATATGATTTTTCGCACGCACTTTTTGGCATGTAAAACCCCACCCCCCTCCCCCTAAACCTACCCAAGGGGTTTTCAGCACGTAGTGTATGCACATTTTTGGTGTATAAATGGCACGTGAAATGACATTCGTGGTATAGATACGCACTTTCATGGATTATGTGAAATTGACTCCTAAATCTCGTCGTGTTTTGGACTAGAAACATGTCAGGCTACACGTTGCTTCCCGACCAATCATCGCTTGCCGTGCATGATATCATCGAAGGCGGAGCTAGAGAATTATTTTTAGAAACAAGAACGTACACTCTAAAAAATGCTGGGTTGTTTTAACCCAATTTTGGGTCAAATATGGACAAACCTGAAATGTTGGGTTAAAAATGTAATGTAAAAATGTAACCCAACGGCTGGGTTAGTCCATATTTGACCCAAAGTTGGGTTAAAACAACCCAGCATTTTTTTAGAGTGTAGTGGCGTGTTTTATACTGGCCGTCTTGTCATCGGAAAAGCATCTTCTCTATGAGATAAAATGATTAATTCTTGCACCTCGACGCCATTTGTCGTTTACGAATCGCCGGGCTGGTATCGTTGACATGTAGTTGCAATCTAGTTACTCTAAAAAACGCTGGGTTGTTTTAACTCATTTTTGGGTCAAATATGGACAAACCCAAACGTTGGATTAAAAATGCAATTTAAAAATGTAACCCAACGGCTGGGTTTGTCCTATAATTGAGTTATAACAACCCATCATTTTTTTAAAGTGTAAAGTGAAGTTTTACCCAATAAACTGCAAATATGCATTCACATCTAGTGCGATTTTTTAATAAAAACGCCCACTTTTCATCATCAAACGATAACCCCCCCCCCCCCCAAAAAAAAAAAAATCCCTGTTGAATATTCCGTAGGCCTAAATTACACATTTCAGAAGTAAAACGGGTTACAGATGGCGTTTCATGTTGACTTTAAACACTTTCAAACATCTCTTCTGCACCAAAAAACGGCTGGCGTGAGGAGATTTCCCACAAGGCATTTCTTATGAATGAGAGTTTCAGATCCATTAGAGCTGCTGTGAAACATTATCAGCCTCTTGAGTTTCAGAACTTTGACGCGATAAACTTACCATCCATGCCGTAACCTCGTGTAAATCATCACACGGGATGTGACGGATGCGTTTAATTGGGTTACCTCAGAGTTCCAGCCTTGCGCATTTAACCAGCGTAATCTTTCTCTCCTGTCCCGGCTGCTTTTTGCAGGAGCTTCTCGCCCCAAAAAAACAAGACAAACCTCAAACGCACGGCAATCTGTACTGCAAACGGATGCGGCGGCGGGAAAGAAATGTGTCATAAAGCGGCGTCCATATCTAATGCCCAGGCCTTTCAAAGCAATAAGCAATCTCACGCCGGCTGTTAATGCGATAAGCGATCTTACGCAGGTTGTTAATGCGTGCTAAGAATGCATATATTCCTTTATGAGCCTCTGAAGACTAATTATGCCTCTCTTAAAATGTCACAAACATATGATTACAGCCTTTAGCGCACACAATAAAGATTTGCACTTAATAAAGACCTCACAGCTGCGCTCAGCTGCTCGCCCATAAATCAGGAAAGTTATCGGGAAGTGAAGTGTGGAGGGGAACATGTGAATTCTTTGATTCTCCGCGCTGAGAGAGCAATCCGGCAGATTCTCCTCTTTTGGACAGATAGTCTTAAAGCAAGCACCTACGCCCCCTGTTGTCACACAAAACAGGTGTGTGTGTGTGAAACTATAGCTTGCTTAGATCATGAACATGTCATTGTTTATTAAGCCTCGTGTCATTCCAAACCTGTTGTTTGGATCCCTCTGAGTTTTCTTCTTATTTCACAGGATTTGATTCATGAATCAGTTTGATTTCGGCATGTCGACTTGCTAAGATGCACAATATTTGTGGGATAGTTCGTAATCAAATTTGTCATTTACTCATCCTCATGTCGTTCCAAATCTCTATTTTTTTTCTTAGTTTTTTTCTTTTCGTGCTTAAAATAATGACTCGTTTGAGTTCTGTGTGGCAATAGCTGCTACTTTTGCCCATTAAATGTGTTCGTAAAGGAGTAGTTCACTTTAAAAAAAACTTTTGCTGATAATTTACTCACCCTCATGTCATCCAAGATGTCCATGTCTTTCTTTCTTCAGTCGAAAAGAAATTGAGGTTTTATTAAGGAAAACATTCCAGGATTTTTTTCCATATAATGGACTTCAATGGGAACCAAATGGTTCAAGGTGCAAATGAGAGTTTCAGGGCAAATAGGGTCTTATCAAGTGAAACGATCGCTCATTTAATAATTAAATAACAAAGTTTAAGTTTTATAAGCTCAAATGGTCGCCTTGCTCTGTTCTGTGATGCGTGTTCGTGACTCTCCTGTTCGAACTCGATTATTAAAATGAAAGAATCTTTTTTCGTGTCATTTGTTTCATTCAGTTGACAGAGTTGACTCGGGAAAAGATTCATTCATTTTGATGAACGAGTTCGAACAGGAGAGTCACGAACGCGCATCACAGAACAGAGCAAGGCGACCATTTGAGCTTATAAAACTTAAACTTTTTTTATTTTATTTTTTTTTTAAACGAGTGATCGTTTCGCTTGATAAGACCCTTATTCATCGTCTGGTGTCGTTTAAAGCCCTTTGAACAGTCTTTTGGACCTTTAACCGTTTGGACCCCATTGAAGTCCATTATATGGAGAAAATCCTGGAATGTTTTCATCAAAAACCTTAATTTCTTTTCGACTGAAGAAAGAAAGACATGGACATCTTGGATGACATGGGGGTGAGTGAATTATCAGCAAAAGCTTTTTTTTAAAAGTGAACTACTCCTTTAAATTTAAATGTTAAAATATACATAAAATGTGAGTCTCAAATATGATCATCAGACGGAAGGTTTATTTGTGCTTCTTTTAATAATAATTGTATTGCATTGCATTATGTTTTAAAATTTGATCATTTAAATTTCATCACTAAGACAATAATCTCACAATATTGGCAGATATAGTGATTACTGATAGGCTGTTTATTAGTATGTTATGTAAGAATCTGCTATATACTGTCATATATATATACACTGTCATAAAGACCTCATTTATTTGCCATATATACTCTAAAAATGCTTTGGGTCAGATATAGACAAATCCAAACGCTAGGTTCAAAAATTAACCCAATGCCTGGGTTTGTCCATATCTGACTCAAAGTTGGGTTAAAACAACCCAGCTATTTTTAGAGTGTAGTCTCCTAGACTACATTGATGCTATTTAAGTGGGTTATCTTACTAAATAATAATTCAATGATTAATAATGTATTTTTATCAGTATGTAGTTAGTTATTTTGCTCCACAGGACTCAAACGAGTCAGTGAATCATAAAAAAACTGATTCACTAAAAGGAATCGAACTTTCCCACATGATACTTTAGGATGCATGTCAACATAGAGCTTGTTACTGAACATTTCTGAAATCATGCAGGGTAAACTAGTAGTGTTGCTTTTGAGTTTTTCCGTGCAAATGTGTGTGTGTGTGTGTGTGTGTGTGTGTGAGAAAGAAAAAACCCTAGCGTGTCCTTGCACCAGTGCATGTCACAGGAGAAATGATGAAACCGGAGACTGCAGAAGCGGCCTGCAGAGATCATATTAGTAGCTGCGACCATCGATCGGTTCTAGCACTTAAATTTCAAGCGTGACAAAACTGTAGGCAAATTAATTGTTCGCCAGAATATTACACATCAGAGTACATTAATCCTCTCCAGAGCCGCACGCCGTATGAATACTAATAGAGCTGCCAGCCGTCTGTCCATTCGCTCGTCTGCTCCTCTCTCCTTTTGTTTCCTTCTTATTTCCCGTCCTCATTGTTTTTTTCATCGTCTCTCTCTCTCTCTCTCTCTCTCGCGCGCGCATCTTTTCTCCTTCAATTGCCAGTGACATTAACTGGCAACAGCGTTCATTAATATTCATATATCCTCCCAATACCTGCGGTATCTGCGAGCCGTGCGCGGCGTCTTCTTTTTGTGATTGAATCGTTTGAAGTGTTTCCTTTTTTTTTTTTTTTTTTTTTTTTAAATAATAATTGTCTGTAAAATTTGGGAACTGACACTTGTGTCTCATGCTTTATGGGCTTTGGCAGGTATCCGGGCGCTAAATGTATGAATAAATGTGGGATTACACAAGTAGATGAGGTGAACATTATTGCATGTTAAAGTCATAAAATAAAAGCTGTACGTAAAGGCCGTGTGCTTTCAATTAAAAGCGCGAGGTTACGCGTGTTAAATAATCCAGTAAAAATACTCTCTCTCTCACACTCTTTTTTTTCTCTCTCTTCTTTTTCCAGAAAGCATCCCGGCTAGTCCAAACATGGGAGTGGTTCTCGTATTTCAGACCCCCACTTTGTCTTCTGTGCCGAGTTCAGCGAGGCTCCCGGTCAGAAATGTACACAAGCCTAATTCGAGTTCGAAGATCTCCGAATAACCCGAAAGGGATCAAATTAAAATTCCAAGACGGGCGGAAAAAAAAAAAAAAGAAGGAGCGATGTGGGGTTTGAAAGTGGCCCCTGCTTCTTTAAGCTGGATTTAAGTGATCAAAGTTTCATACGAGGCAGCCATTGGTGGTATTGAGTTACTCTAATGGCTGCCATGTGCTCCTGCCGACGGGCCCGATCCACGGGCGTCTCCGGGGTGTCAGGCGCAAGACAGTTGTAAAAAGAGGGAGAGCGGGATCGGCTAAAACCAGATGCCTCGTGCACTTTCAGACCTCGTGCATTTTTTCCCGAATTAGCTCCAGATTTTTGGAGGAGCGTCGTGCACCGAGCATCTCTCAAGGCCGTGCCAGCGCTCTCCATCGCGCTTATTTACTGATGCGTGGCTTCCCCATTCCCACTAAACTGCAGGAGACACAAGTGACAATAAAAGTCAAACACTCGGTGGTTGCCGGAGTCCTGGCTGGTTATTAGTATGTAAATGAAATCATCACAGCTGTTGTATGCGCGGAGAGGGGGAGAGCGGAGACAACGAACCCTGCATTCTGATGCTGTCTCCTGAACAACCATCAGGCCTGGCCACCTCTCACGTACCCTGCAGTCAAGCAATAATGCATGCACAAATGCTTTTATGCATGCAATTACATTATGGATAAAGTATAATGTACACATATACAGGTTAATTAGCAAAGCGGCTGGGATTGCTTTCGTTCGGTGAACAGCGATCGCAAAAGCTTTATGGAAATGAAATAATTAAGCTTTGAGTAATTGAGTTAGATCTATATATCAGTTCAAATCAAGGTGGAAAAAAAACATGCATAACATAGCTTTACATATATTTGTGTATAAATTGTATATATTTTATTTAAATTGATACTTTTAGCTGGTACTTAAGTCTTTGTAAAAAATCAGGCACATAAAATTTGTATTTAAAGCTTTTCCGTAATTAAATCATTTACATTTATATATTACTGTAAAAAAAAAATATTGTTGGTTTAGCTTAAAAAAAAAAAAGTAACCTGGTTGCCTTAAAATTTAATACAATGTTAATACAATGATTGATTTTAATCGTCAGAAACTCAAAATATTATGTTATATGAACTACATAAATTATCTAAGTTGATTTGACAAAAGAACAAATGTTGTGATTACAAATCATGAAAATATTGTTGGTTTAACTTAAAAAAAAAAGTAACCTGGTTGCCTCAATTTTAAGTTCATTGAAATGGAAAAATTGAGTTAATACAATGAAGGAGATTGATTTAATCACCATAAACTTAAAATATTATGTTATCTGAACTACATAAATTATCTAAGTTGAGTTGACAAAAGAACAAATGTTGTGATTACAAATCATGAAAATATTTTTTCTACAGTGTAATATTTACATTTACATTGTTTATAATATACTTTATGCAAAGCAACCTACAATTTATCCTAGAGTGAGTAACATGAGAAAATTATTTCTCATACCCCAGTGATATACATATTTTTATAGTTTTTTCTTATTATTAAAATATTGTTGGTTTAACTTAAAAAATAAGTAACCTGGTTGCCTTAAAATTTTAAGTTCATTGAAAAGAAAAAAAGATTAATTTAATCACCATAAACTCAAAATATTATGTTATCTGAACTACGTAAATTATTAATTATTGAAGTTGATTTCAAAGGAAAAAATGTTGTCACTGTAAAAAAATATTTTCAAGATTTGTTATCACAACAAATCTTTTGTCAAATCAACTTAAATAATTTATTATTTTGAGTCTCTGATGATTAAATCAATCTCCTTCGTTGTATTAACTCACTTTTTCCAGTTCAACCAACTTCAAATTTTAAGGCAACAAGGTTACTTAATTTTTTAAGTTAAACCAACAATATGTTTTTTTTTACAGTGTACAAATCAAGAAAATAGTTTTTTACAGTGTTGTATCATCAGCATCCCAACATCAGATCAGCCAATAGGGCGAGTTTTGGGCGTGGCTACCTGCAAGTCCGACCAATGGCAGAAAACAGTCATTGCATGCGAACAACATCAAACTTTGACCATTATGAGAAAATGCATTGCATCAGCGTGAATATTTCAATTTTTCATTCGAACGAGTCGAAAACATGCAGTATGGTTTTTGATTTAAACCTGAAGCATGTAAACTCTCAAATTCCAGGCACAAATCATTTTCTTATTTATTTTTCCAAAGGATAATATTATGAGAAAACTCACATTTTTTTCCCAGACAGTAAACAAAAGCATTCCCCCCAAAAACTGATTTCTGCCGCAGATGAAACATAGACGGGCGTTAGACGCTGCCAAATCTCCGGCTGAAATTGTTTCCATATCTGCGCCATGTATTCAATGCCCATCTGCCCGTACTCCTGCACACACCGCCAGCAAAAACACAATGAGTAATTCTCTCCAAACATAGACATAAAAAAAAAAAAACGTAAAATAAGATCTTGTTTCGGATCATCCGCTTGAGAATACTAATTAGGCCGCCATTGTGGAAAATGTTACTCAAGGCTTCGATCTGTGTTCAACTTAAGGCCAAACAAATCCAGGAAAGAGCTTTCAATCTAAATCAAGAACCGTTTTCCAGCCCGGCCCGCCTCTGCCCGCTAAATAAATAATGCTCTACGATACAGTCGACAGGCAAAATGTCAGATTGTCTGCTATTTAAATGCATAGAGGTGTGATGAGTGAAACATATGGGAGATTTGAGAGCTAGCAGCGTTTCCTGATCAAACCAGCCGTTACGGTGTGTAGTGTGCGTTTTGGCTGCGTTTGACATCACAATCCGACGGGTTTATGTAAAAATATGCTAAGATAGCATCGCGGCGCATCTGTATCACTTCGTCTGCCACGTTTCATTAAGCTAAATCGTGTGACGCGTTCTCTTTAAGTCTGAGAATTTATGGATGGATCTGTCTCTCGAAATTCCAGCATTGCTCTTCATTCGCAGCGGGTGCGTTCAACGGCGATCTTCGACTTGATTCAGCGTGCGTTTACATAAGCTCTAATGTTTAATTGCCTGCGGTGAGTGAACTGGCGTGTTCTCGTGGCCCGAATTGTTTGATACCGAGAGGTTACGGAGCGAGGAGCTTTGTTTGTTCACCTCACCTTCCCTCCTACACTCACTGTCTCCCCCTGTGATTAAAAAACATCATCAGCATCTCATTAGCACTGATTTGCATAGTAACAGCATGAATATTGTGAGTGTGTTTCTGGGGGTAGGGGGAACTTAATGAATGCGACAGCCTCTTCTGTTTAACTAATTTTTTGCCTCATCCATATTCAGATGACTCTTGGAATCAGACAGCGGTTAAAGTTTCAGACGCGATCGCACCTGATTCCTCAACCCAGAGGACAATTTTGATGCGTGTTTGTGGTCTTATTGTGCATGATTCATCAGTACATGTTCTTCAGGAAAAAACAAAAAAAAAAGGTGATGTTGTGAATGGCATATCGTGTTTAAAAAGTGTTTGAAAAGAATTAAACACACACAGATGTTGATTGATCGCAGACTTTGGTGTCTTGATGTATGCAAGAGATTTTTTGTTGGTTTTAGGATCTCATTGCTGTCATTTGTGATTTTTCTTTGATACAGGAAAGCCTTTGCAAACTGTATAGCTGCTCATTCATAGCTCAAAAGACCTGTTTCATGTACTGTAAGTATCAACCTTGTTTCAGATGTTTCACGTAAAATAACACGAGTACAGTTTGAGACGTTGCTGAGATCTCTTCTGATGCATGTGATCAAATTTAATCTCGTCGCTGTCATTTGTGATTTTTCTTTGTTACAGGAAAGCCTTTGCAAACTGCATTCAGAGCTCAAAGGACCTAATGGAGATGTTTCTTTGCAACTAAATCGAAGTATTTAAAGGGATAGTTCACTTTGAAATTAATTTTTGGTGTGTTTTATCTTGCCTCAAGGGCATCCAAGACGTAGGTGTCTTTGTTTTGGCAGTATTTTCAATTTTTATATTTTTAGGTCAAACCGTTCTCTGTCAGTCATATAATGCAGGTCTATGGTCACCACCTCAAAGAGCATGCACAGAGAAGTCCAAATTAAACATGATTTAATGACTCGTAAATGTAAGTACACATTAATGGCCTAAGACACGAAACGAGCGGTTTGTGTGAGAAAACGAACAGTATTTATATCGTTTAACCTCTTGTAACCACAGCCGCGTCCAAGTGATCTGAGGGAGCGGGCGCTTTGTGGTTACAAGAGGTTAAACGATATAAATACTGTTCGTTTTCTCACAGAAACCGCTCGTTTCGTGTCTTAGGCCATTAATGTGTACTTACATTTACGAGTCATTAAATCATGTTTAATTTGGACTTCTCTGTGCATGCTCTTTGAGGTGGTGACCATAGACCTCCATTATATGACTGACAGATATGAACGGTTTGACCTAAAAATATCAAAATTGAAACTCCTGCAGAAACAAAGACCCATACATCTTGGATGCCCTTGAGGTAAGATGAAACATACCAAAACTTGTTTCATGTTTCTCCTAAAATTTCGTGGGTAGCATTAAAAACACAAATGAATTGGTCCCCAAACAGACATTGGACATGTAGTTGCAAAGTTACTCATAGTTAAATGTCCATAAAGTGGACTTTTACAGGAAAGCCTTTCCAAACTATCGCTCATTCATATCTCAAAGTAAGCATCAGTTTTGTTTCAGATTATATAGAGTAGAGCAAGATCTGACGTTGAGCTCTTCTGTGCAGGTGCCATCGGGTTTTGGCACTTTCTTTGCGCCGGCCACATGATGGATGACGCCAGCGAATTGCAGCGTGCAGTATTTTCCCGCAGTTGATTGCAAACCGACTCCGGGTAACATAATTATTTACACTGACACAATAATGTAAAATGATTAACATCCGCTCATATTCACGCCGGTATAAATCACCAGCCCACGTCGGGGTTCATCGTTCGCCGTCTCGCCCTCGGATTGGACGCCGGCCAGATAAGAGGAATATTAATCGTGAAGATATGCCGCATGGTCGTTTAAAACTTCGCCCTGGCCGAGCCTTTGGCAGAGCGATGGCTTCTGGCTCCGGCGGGCACCGCTCAAGATGGATCGCCAGCCGACTCCTCAACATAGATGTCCTACCTGTGCGTGAAATAGGGCTTGACCGGCCAACGTGCACTTTTTCTACCCCTTTCTCCCCCAAAAAGAGAATTACTGCTGGGAGGCTCTGGACAATTTTATGTAGGGCTGGAGAACAAAAATCAATATTTAATTATCTGTGAGCGTTCGGTGTCACTACATCTTTAGATCTGTAGGGTGGAGTGGACAGGGTCACCGGGCCGGTAAGCGAGTCCGTCAGTGAC